TGTCAAAAAAACGGTGATATTTTTTAATAGGTCGCTTAATTACGTCTTTAAGATTACAATGACGCTTTCAGAATCATGTTTGATTGAAAATTAACGCCTGTACAGAGGCTTAAAGTTCGTAACGTTATAAATAAATTGAATTGTGCGAAAAATATTACATCTACAACGCCCACTTTTGGCACACTTTTAAAGTATGACAAAACCCTCAACTTGTCATAGGTCTTATAAAATTTTAACAATAAATGCGATAGTTATAAACAAATTAAAAAATGGGCACTTTTCTTGTTTTTTTGCAATAACTTTTTTATTTATTAACCGATTTTAATTTAACAAGTCTCCTTTTGTAGATAATTTTATTCCCTAGAAGCTGTCTGCGAGTCACTTTTCCCTACAAAGTGAAAAAACTGTTTTCCTCATTTATTTGTTTAAATAGAAAAGTTAACTAATAAAATTTTTTGACTCACGAGATGAGATATGTCTTGTATTATGTTTCTTTAGACAATTTTACAATAATATCGCGGATAGGAATTTTTCCCAGTTTCTTTTTCTTTCGCTAATTTTCCTGGTGTATTATCGAGAATAACTTTTTCTCGAAAAATCAATAATAAAAAAGTTTACAAGAGTACGGTACCCCATTCGGGGGCACACTGTATAAATATTACGTATTTATTTATTTTTATAGAATCCATAGAATCTTCAAAAATTTTTAAATTCGTCTTTGTTTATTACACACAGCTAGCGAACTATTTTTCCGTTCACCTGAATTTACTGCTTTACACATTTATCCAAATTCTGTAACTCTGCAGTTGGCTTAACAAGCTTCTTCTGTTTCAGTCCTCGAGCTCGCCGAGACGAGTGGCCGTCCCAGTCCTGGTCAAAGACGGCAAACCCTGCTCCGGTGGATCCGGCGCCGGCAACCAGACGTCCACCTCGACGGCCTCATCCGACACCACCAGAACGCAGCAGTCGCCTGCGTGCCAGCCCCAGCAGCAGGCGCAGTGTATGGCCAACAACAGCCTGGCCATGGCGTACCGGCAGCAGGGCAACTACCAGCAGCAGTGTGGTACGTACCTACCCCTGCAGACTAGGGCATGGTAGTGTTACGAACAATACGGCATCATGTACTGTGGCGACGTGTGAATCTCGGTGTATAGTTCGTGGTGAGTTACTTACCTAGGGACTCGATAGACTGTGGCGACGTTTCGTATGAGGACGATAAAATCAGACACATGGTTGTGTTGGTATTTCGACGAGGAAGAGGTGAAGACGAACAAACGCTGGTTTTTAGTGGACAATAACTGTTCTTTTTTCATTTTACGAACTATTTCATTGCTGTAGTGGTAAATGATTATGGTATACGAGTTTTTAAGAAGTAATACCTTTATTTGAATGAATATAAAGGATTCAAACTAAAAACTTTCAGATATATTTAAGAAGAATTTAAAATGTACATGTAAATGCAGATATACAGGGTGATTCATTAACAATGGGAAAATCGAAAGCTGAAGATACTACACGTGAAATGGTGACCATTGGCGCAAACATGCCTTATCCGAAAGTTCATAGTTTGGGAAATACAGGGTGTTGAAAGTTATAATTTTAAATCGTTTTTTTTTTGCGAAAATGTGTAGGTTAGGAACTTGAAAATTTGTGAAACTATATTTTTTTAGGCGACGAATAAGATGCGCGTTGTAATTTCAGCATTGCTCATAGAGGGCGTCACTTACCACCAATTTTACCGAAAATTTAGTTAATAACTTGTTACCCTGTATGTCTAACATGAAACTTGATTCAAAACCTGAAAGAGGAATCATTTTTCCATAAATTGTGTATTCTTGTTTCATTTCCGTATCTCGATCCGTTTTCGAGAAAAATCGATTTAACGAACACTATGTTTTGATTAGAAATTAAAAGCGAAACAAACCAAGTGTTTCTTCGTGTTATTACAACAATTAACAATAAAACAAATGAAATTCGTAATAATGATTTAAAGTCAGTGTTCGAAGAATCCACCGTTGACATTTACACACTTTACACAACGTTTTCTGTGAGATCTTCGAGTTAGTAACAACATATTGGGATTGCGTTTGACTTCGTTGGCAGCGATTTGTATTCTTTGCCACAACTCTTCACACGAACCAATAGATTCTTTGTAAACTATATCTTTCATTCGAGACCAAATAGAAAAATCAAGAGGATTGAAGTCCGGACTTCTGGATGGCCAAGCAAAAATGCTTACATGGCCAATCCAGCGATTTGGAAAAACTGCATCTAAATATGCACGCACTGGCCAAGAAAAATGCGGTGGAGCTCCGTCGTGCATGAACCACATGTCTCTTCTTAAATAAAGTGGAACTTCTTCAAGCCGTGGAAGCATTTTTACTTGGCCACCCAGAAGTCCGGACTTCAATCCTCTTCATTTTTCTATTTGGAAGAATCTATTGGTTCGTGTGAAGAGTTGTGGCAAAGAATACAAATCGCTGCCAACGAAGTCAGACGCAATCCCAATATGTTGTTTCAAACTCGAAGATCTCTCAGAAAACGTGTAAAGTGTATCAGTGTCAACGGTGGATTCTTCGAACAATTACTTTAAATCATAATTACGTATTTTATTTGTTTTATTGTTAATTGTTGTAATAACACGAAGAAACACTTGGTTTGTTTCGCTTTTAATTTCTCGTATTATCAAAACATAGTGTTCGTTAAATCGATTTTTCTCGAAAACGGATCGAGATACCGAAATGAAACAAGAGTACATAATTAATGGAAAAATGATAGCTCTTTCAGGTTTTGAATAAAGTTTCATGTTAAATATACAGGGTAAAAAGTTATTAACTAAATTTTCGGTAAAACTGGTTTATTAGCAATGCTGAAATTACAACACGCATCTTATTCGTCGCCTAAAAAAATATAGTTTCACAAATTTTCAAGTTCCTAACCTACATATTTTCAGAATAATCGCAAAAAAAACGATTTAAAATTTTAACTTTCAACACCCTGTATTTCCGAAACTATCAATTTTCGGATAAGGCATGTTTGCGCCAATGCTCACCATTTCACGTGTAGTATCTTCAGCTTTCGACTTTACCATTGATAATGAATCACCCTGTATAAACACAAAAACGCTGGTAATAATTACTTAAAATTTACTGATTATGGACAATGGACCTTCTTCACTAGATTCAACTTCACATGTATAACGTACTATAAATTAATTGCTTACTTCTATTTTTATATATTTTATTTCATGCTGTATGATAAATCCTCGTTTACGCAATTAATTTTAGTCCAGAAAACGCGTATAATATAAGAGCTGCTAAAAAGTTACTTCTTCTTTTCGATTAAATGAATAAAACGTCATAGCAGGCTACCCCCGAAAAAGTACTTTTTTCTAACAAATTTAATAAAGACAGAACAACATTTAAAACATAATTACACACACAAAATAAAAAAGTGGTTTGTACACTGTAATAAAAAGTATGGTAAAATTCCTTGAACAAGTAAAATTCGTGTAACATTTATGAAATATTAAATAAAGAAATCGACTCGAATTTGAATCTAAAGTCTGTTGAGCCTCACTACTAAGAATTTTGCAAAGATAGCAAAATATCGCAAAAAATGGAAATCGTGAATCCCAAAAAATCTTGAATAAATGACATGGATATGAATTACTTCCAAATAAATTCGACTGACTCGAACCAGGTTTTCTTTGATGTTGCTCTTACTCTTTTCTTCTCTTGTAGCGAAATCTTTTCTCTAGCTATCAAGCTTAGTCTCCTGAAGTAGTTTGTCAAAGCTCTGGACAAAGACCGTGAGTGTTTTCACTATTTAGGAGAGAAGTTTCCAGGGATAAGTGATGCGAAATTTTTATTTTTGATGATCCTCAGATTCGTACTCAATTTTGAAACGAAAATTCCATTACAAGGATCAATTACGCTGAAAAAGCAGCATGGCAAAGTTTCACAGATAACTCTCGGAATTTTTTAGGAAATGAGAAAAGTGGGGATTACGAAAATTTGGTTGAAGAGACGTGGAATATTTTCAAACAGTTAGGTTGCTTGATGAATCTATGAAATAGTATACTATTTCCCTCAAAACCTTGGAGACTACAGTGAAGAACAAGGAGAAAGATTATATTAAGATATAAGTGAAATGGAGAATAGATATCAAGGAAGATAGAATATCAACATGATGGCAGATTTCTGTTGGACACTAAAGAGAGAAATGAATCAGAATAGACAGAAGAGAAAGAGGAACTCGCTGTATAGGTCATTCAAAGAGAAAATAGTTCGCTACAAGAGAAAAAAAGTGTAAGAGCAACATCAAAGAAAGACTGGCTAGAATCAGTAATTTATATCCATGACATTTATTCAAGATTTTTTGGGATTCACGATTTCATTTATTTTGCGATATTTACAAAATTTTTGGGTAATGATGCTCAACAGACTTTAGATTCAAATTCGACTCGACAAAATTTATGAGAAAAACACTTGATCCAATCAAGAAAACCGCTTTCTAAAGTTTCTCACTCTCATTATGCATATGAAAACCACTTGATCAAGTTCAGAACAATTTTTTTCGACTTTTTTTAGGGGTGTTTGAGTTAAACGAGCTTCAGATTCGGATTCAGTACGTCAAAATACATAGCCTACTGGCTACATACTGTTATTATTAATATTAATAGTACATACTAGTACAATTTTATGTGGATTTAATTCCTGGGAACAGAGTTAACTGTAAAAGTAGAAATCTTGCTTTGCTGTTGTTACGGCACCTGTACTTCTACTTTGACTTTTCCTTCGATGGAATCAATAACAAATTTTTTTCAATCATCGAAGAACTTCCCCGTCTACCATGTTGTTTTAAAATCTACAAATCGGCAACACCGTTTGCAAGGATAGTCGCAGGTGCACGAGTGCACGAGGAAAGCAATGTCCTGTCTTTTTTTTTCGGAAATTGAGCTATTTTCTTAAACATTCTTTAAATGGCATGAATCTCAACTCTCTCAGAGATGCATTAACTGCTTCTGTACCCCAACTATAGTAAAACAAGCAGCAGTAGAAGCAGAGTCAACATCGTTGTTCAAAATTTTCTTCCCAATCACGATTTTGTGTAGAAGAGAATCGTCGGCATATCCTTCAACTACTTTATCGCTTTTCCAACCTCTAAAAAGCTTCGAAATAGAGATGTCTGCAACAATCTACGAAATTTGTCTTTTGTTGTTCTCGAATTCATTGTGAATGTATTTAACTTTTACCTACGACCACTACTGTAAATACTTAAAAACACACCGTCTGCGATCAATGTAAGATTCCTATTACGTACGGTAAAAAAATGGCAACATTGTTTGTATTTTCCGTTGCTAGGCGGTTGCTAGGAAAACTGTATACGATTTTTTTACCAAGCTGTGAGATTTTTTTACCGTACGTAAAATAGGAATCTTACATTGATCGCAGACGGTGTGTTTAAGTATTTACAGTAGTGGTCGTAGGTAAAGTATAGTACGTAATACGTGGTGTAATGCAATTACGCACTCATAGAATTACGCACTCGCCGCTACGCGGCGTCGTGCGTAACTTTTCCATTCGTGCGTAAAATGCTTTTTACAACACTTATTACGTAATATACTATTATTGTACGATCTATTAGTGCATTTTTCAACTTTACTTAAACAAAGAAGTGACATTAGTGACAATTATATTTATTTTGCATATAACGATGCTATAATACGTCTAAAAAGTCCACGGAACAGATAAGGACAAATTCGTTTTATATTTCTTTAAATCTTAATTTGAAAAAAATTATGCCCTTGCCTTATCAATATAGAGAATTATATTGATGTTCCATGGCAAACAAACCTTAAAAAATGTCGTCATGTGTAACTGGGTTAACAGATTTGATAACATTGCTTTGCCCTTCTTTGTTGATTGGGTATTGTAACCGTAGGACGTGACGTCACTTTTGTATGAATTTTGTACTCTTAAAAACCTATTTTTTAGTGTATCGCGATAAAAAGAAATCGAAAAAAAATACGTTGCATTGTACATCTACTGTTAATCTGGGACAAAATTGAAATTAGTGAAAAAGGTTAATTGTAC